CCAAAAACGGGTGTCACGAAACTTTCAGGCTGCAGATTAGGTGGAGGGTACTGAGTTCAACCCCCAAGACGCCTGAGGCTTGTGGCCACGGCGGATATCAATGCAAGATCCAGTGTTTCAAGTTGAGAGCCGCGAACATGCATGCCGCTACACAGGGCATTGCAGGACATGCCAACTGCATTGAGTGAACGTGCCAGGACCAATGAAGCGCCTATTTTTAGTGCTTGGCACTGTGAGTGGCCTGTCCTCCAAGGCTCGATCACAGCATGATGAGTTCATGGTTCCACATGTTTCCGCACCGGATCACCGGATGTCGGTCAGGGGCGGGAGCTGCCACCAGATCCCGCCAAAGTCGCTCTGCCCGCGGTGCCCGCGGTCCGAAATGCTTCAGACTTACGCGCCTTGTGGACGGAGTGCTGGTTATTGGGAAGCAAGTTTGCTTTCTGAACCTGTCGCATGAAGTTTTGCAGTTCTTTTCGCTCTGGCAGCCGTGTCGAAGGGACTGTTTCAAATCGAAATAGTTGTTTCTGTCGTTCTGAGGCGGGAAAGGATGGCTCCTGGGCACATATTCATCTTCGACCCAGTGTCAAGCATCTGAATCTTGCAGAGCATGTTGCGGCAGTTCCGATTTCGTCGGAATTTGTCATGTGACGGCAGTTGCTGCAGCAATGTGTGTTGGCAAACTCCTGAGTGACATCCAATGTGAAATGATGCACTCGTAAGAAGCTGTCTGCGCACAAGGTATGCCAGAACTTCCTTCGCTGGATGACATAATGAGCCCGACTTCCCAAACCATGTGTGGCAGCTCAGATTTTGAGAAAAGCTGGGTATGCGCTACAGAGGTGCCTTATTGGTGGAATCTGCTTCTCATTAAAACGGACAGCTGCTCCTAAGGTTTGGCATCAGCTCAGAGGCCAAGCAGCTCGAGGCACAGCCGGGAAAAACACAGGACACACACACACACACCCGAAACTCCCTGCGTGTTGCAGAGCGCTGGAGTCGTCAGGACCACGGGGCCGCATTTCGTTTTCTTATCGAACGGCGCCTGGAGTTGAAGCTTTCTTTAGCAAAGTGCCCGAATGCTACAGACCTCGGCCCCACTACTGAGGTGTTTCCACCTAAGAAGCTTGTAATTCCACTCAAGTGGAGCGCGAGACCAGTTCACGAGAGCGGTCCGTGTCTTGCCGCTTGTGGCGTTCTGCCGTCTGACTTTTTGAAGAATACTTTCATGTGCGTTGTCTGCACACTAGGAGCCTCGATCACAGCAGAGCCTTGGCTGGGCCAGGCGAAGATGCTCAAGATAGAGCACGAAAACAGCTTGCGCCTTCAGCGGCAGAAGGCAGTCTTCGACCGAAAGCTGAAGGCCTCTCGGGTAGTCATGATACTTTCAGGGTGTTTTGGTAGAGAATTGTCCAGGAGCAAGAGGCCAAGAACCAGGGTGTGGCGAAGGAGCACTGCCATCCTCGCCTGTTCTGTCTTGACGAAGCATTTCTCGTGGGTCGCCGTGTGACTTCATGGCCCAGAAGCCATATAATCCAAAAGCTCCTACGCCCTTGTCACCAGGAGAATGCTGATCTGGCCAAGACCATTATGCAGCTGAAGAAAAACAACGAGGCGACGTCATAACCTCCAAGACATGCAAGAAGCAACATCAACTTCAACGCCATGCTACCATGAGACGGCGCATTTCCGGCTTGGTTGCAGCTGTCCTTCTGTTGCACTGCATGAGTGTCGGTACATGGGATCATGCAAATTTGATCTTGGTGCATGTTGTTGTGTGCAGGCCACTTTCGCCAAGTCCAAGACACTACGTGAGGCCGACATGTCAAGTAACAAGTAACGAGGGAACAGTTCGTTGTTCAACATAGTGTGGCGTTTGTGTTGTTGAAATAGTGTGTGAGATCGATGCCTTCCTGACGTGTTGTGGGATCTAAGGTGCTGCCAAGTGTAGGCATGACAACGAACTGATGCTGGCGTTGCGGGGAATGCAGCGAGGGGGGCATCATATCGGACCTGCACGGTCAGGCCATATCATTGCGCAAAGCGGAGGTCAAGAACATGCAGGAGCTTGCCAACCCAGATGGAGCATGCTTCATTTGCTATACGACCATGCTGTCCAAAGATGCTCACGCATAGGAGCAGCTTGCAGCCGTGCAGCAGTACTTGGTCGACACCTTGTCAGATGCCGACGAAAGCAAGGCCCGTAAGTTTCAACGGGGCAGCTGAAGTAGCAGTGGTGATCGGAAGTCACTGCAGCTATGCTCGGCCAGGCGCCAGAACTCGCCATCTTGGATGAGGAGGTGCGAAGTGCCAGCTTTGCAGGGAGTTACAATTAGGGCCCAATAGCAGGATCCTGCTTACGGCCCCGGAAAGGGCCCCGTACTCACTTTAAGACCTTTCGAGCGTCTCAGCATCCGAGGAGAAAGCCGAAGCGGCCGAAGCCCAGGCGGTTGCCGTGAAGAGGAAGGCCCGAAATGGCCTGAAGCTGGTTAAATCAGGGTTTCGGCGTTGAGGTTTTTGGGGGTCGAAGGTTTCGGGGTTATCAATGAAGGGGTAAAGGGCCGAGAGTAGTTGGATAAGTAGAGCCGGAAGAGCGTGTTGCTTCAAAGCAAGTCACGAGACTTGCGCTTTGAGGACCCGCGCAAGTAGGACATGCAGTCACCTCTTTGTCCACGTAACGAGCATCAGGGCCGCCTGCACGTTGAGCTCTCTGAAGCCGCCCTCCGCAGGCTGCTTCGGCCATAGCCATCGCCGAGCAGCGAGCCAAGAAGGACGAGGCAGAGGCAGAGTTCATCACCGTCTCGTCGACCCTGCTCAATGAATACTTTTTGCAGATCTCACAAGTGGATTCTGTCAGCTTTGCCTGCCTGAGTGACAGGAACCCAACCTCTCCTTCCTTCAGGTGGAGGAGGCTTGCCATCGCAGCCTGTGGCAGACATTTTAAGTGGTGCTCTGGTATCTGCCACTCCTGCGAGTCATGACGATTGCAATCCGTCACGTGGGTGAGGAGCCTGATGATGCGGCTGCGTTGGACAAGGAGGCAGGAGGTCCTAAAGTAGTAGTGTAGCACTCAGCACGCAGCTTCTTTTCCAGGGAAGGCATGGGATGAAGCAGGAGCATCAGCCAGCACGTAAGAGCGAGAAGCAGCCACCTTTCTTCTTGGATTGCTGAACGTATCATGTGGGAGCTCCTGTGCAGGCGGATCTTGGAGAGCCAGAGAACCTGCTTGGTGTCCTCGCGGACGGGGTGAAGAACATGAAAAAGCAGGGGGAGGTCGGAGTTTACAGTTTCTGCTTCGTAATGTAGGCATCATCTTTTCGGAGACTGATTGCCGCGGCTCCTGTATCATCCCAGCCAGATTCAGAAACCTTTGCTTTTCGTTCTTGAGTGATCTTAAAGCAGAGACCACGTGGAGGTGACTTCAAATCACTTGAAATCGCTCTTCTTGTCCAGCTTGCAAGACGGCGTCTGGCTCTGAGCTGGGGCTGCCACTGGTCATATTCACGCAGTCGTAGTACCGACATCTTCTAGGTGAAGCGTCGAAAGGCACTCAAGGCGCAGCAGAAGGCCAGCATTGACTCTGAAACTGCGCGACGGCACGGCCAAGAATTTCATGCAGCATCCACAGGTCTTGCAGCAGACGCTTACAAGCATGAAGTCCTACGAGGCCGCTTGAACTGCTATCTGCATTCTGCAAAGTGTGGTACTCATGCAAGCCAATCTCGCTCTTGCAAAGGCACGGCTTGGAAGAGCCGAGGACCGCTTGACGGTATCGACCTTACACACTTGGGACTTGGGGCATACAGGACCTCCCCCCTCTCATATGTGTGTGGGCGCAGATGCAGGCAAGACGGGTGAGTGCCCCAACACGCATGCGTGTATGTTGGCCACAGAGCACAGCCGGCTTGCGGCGGCCAGCAGCACATTGAGCGTGCCACGTGGCGGCACGTGAGAAAGCAAGGCACCAACAAAGAGCACGCCGGCAGCCTTGACTCATCAAGCCCCGGTTAGAAGAGAGAGAGAAAGACTGTGCATTGTGCAGCACAGTCGGAACAATTTGGATGGAGCTGTTTCGAGGTCACCAAGCAGACATTGGACAAGCACCTTCATGATGCAGGACTTTTCCTGAAAAAGCTGTCGTGACTTGTTTGCAAGTTTGTCTTCTACACGGCAGCGGTAGAATCAGGCATCGGAGATGGTCCACAGGACCCGCCATTGCTTAGTTCGAACCAAGGCAGCTTCTACTGGAAAAGCCCGAGGCCAGGGGAATGGATTGTTGCAGGCGACAGTGGTGATCCTTCTGTCAGCAGCCCGGTCACCTCTAAACATGGCGTTGAACTACCATGATAGTGTGGGTGCCCTAGCCGTCTTTCTCAGCCTGGTAAGAGATGTACGTAGCAGTCCATAACTTGATACAGCTTCCCCGGCACGACAAGCATGTCTCGACAAGGAGGGGCGACGGTGACGGTTGGAGGGCCTTCATAAATTTCGAGTCATTCCGAAGCGCTCTGCGACAGATTGCGCTGGTCTGACAGGCTGGTCAGAAGGAGCTGGCGGCCTTGCAGCAACATTCTTCTCTCTGAGACGCGTATTCCGTGAGCTGCAATGAGCTTCGAGACAGCCTTAAACCTTCTGGCACGGTGCAGGTTGCGGACTGTGCATGCTTGGAGCAATGAGCTCTTACATTACCACCAGCTTGCCAGAAAAATTAACTTTGCAGCCAAGCTTATGAACCTCTCTCCCATGTGCGGATAGCAAGTTGCGAGACATGGGCCTTGATCCATGATGCTTGTCGCCTCTGGCCGGAGATGCCTGCAGGTAATGAAAGTAGGATCCATTTCCGAAAGCAGGATCCATTTCCGCCGTCATAAAAGCAATAACAAGCACTGGACCGACAACTTTCCAACTAGTGTTCCACGAATTGCTTCGCACCGATGATGTCAAGAGTGTGATCATGGGCCGGCCCATGGATGCATCTGAGCGCATTCGTTCAGACATCGCAGGCTCTGGGGTGCTGGGGGATCCAACGACCTCAGTTTCAGGGAATGCTGCCGGGCATCAGTCGGAGTAGGAAAGACCTAAAAGTAAATTCCCAAGTATCCAATGCTGGGCTATGTTTGGCATGCTGGGAAGGATCACCGATTTGGCTCGGGCACCAGCGCATTGAGAGAGCTCCCTGACATAAATTTGAGTCTCAGGCTTTGGGTTTAGTTTGGTAGGGTTGCTATCGTTGCCATAGACCCTGTCGAGCCCACTTGGTCTGAGAACATGTAGACTCATTGACAGCCGAGGCATGTTCAGGCCATTCAAGCCTGCCGGCGGTCCCAACTCTGGCACACTGCTCTTGATCTTTTCGTATCCACTTCGCACCAGAGCTTGGAGGCCGAGCGGGCGGATTCCTAGTGCCGCTGCCATTTCACTTTCTGCTGGTCAACTCGAAGCACAACCGAGAGCCCAACACGGGGCCGCCAAAGCGCCTTGTACTTGGTGCACTGCATGCAGGTCAACGCCGTGGTCTACACTGCAACAATCTCTGCCTTGGAGCAGTGGCCGAAGGCCTTGCAGCTCTTCGAGGACTGAGACCTTAAACCCCAATATCAGGAGAGTATAGAATGAGTCTTGTCTACCTCCTTCGGCCTGGGCTGCAGGATTTGCAGGATCGCAGTTTGGAGGCTGATGTCGTTCTGCACAACGCGGTCGTCAGCGGCTGTGATACCAGAGAGCCATGTGGCTTAATTTTCTTCGCAAGGAACAAGGTGGCTTCGATATCTGTTTGTCCTAAGGCAGCATGGCATATGGCCTTGGACCAACTGAGGCAGTGGAAGAAGAGCTCCTCCATATTCAGCAAGCTTCGCTGTCGTTCTATTCAAGCAAGCCTGATTTCATTCAACACCTTCATCAGTACCTGTGACAAGTCCGGCCACTGGGAAGCTCAGCTGAATGTTCGTGATCAGAAGTTGATAGCAGACACTTCAGCACTGCGCAATAATTCCTTCTTCCTAGCACCAACGATAACGACGACGACGGCTACTACTGCCGAAACGGCTATTACTGCGACAGCAACAACAACTACTGCTGCTGTTGCTGGACTCGTCATGGCCGGAAGCCTGCTCACGCTACTTCTGCGGCTACTGCCACAACGATTTCTACGACTACTTTAACACTTGTTGCTGCTACATGCTGCTACAACTACATCGACGAAGACGACGACAATGACGACGACCACGATCTCGACATCGACGACAGCGGTGACGTCTACTACTAGTTTGCAGTGGATGTCAAGTCATCTGCTGGGCGCGCCTCCCCAAAAAGCAGACCCATCGCTGCCCATGGCTCGCACTCCAAGATTTGGAGGGCTTTGGTGGATGTGCAGTTGCTGATTGCAGCGGTTGCAAGCCATGCAACTGCGATCATGTCAGCCGATGCGAGCTTCAGCTATGCAGTGTTTCTGCTGCATGGGCTAATCCTGGTGCCAGTTCGCATCAGCTGTATCTTGTAGCCTTTTCCCCCTCCCCGCTCTTTCTTACGATGTGGAAGTGGGTCGCACCAGTCAGTGTTGGGGGAGTGCATCAGCCAGGCAGCTCGCTCCTGATTTTTTTTAGCATTTCTACTTCTTGGTTAGTGAAGACGGCATCGACAAAAGGGCAAGACTTCAACGGGTTCTGCTGGTTCTCATCGCCCGCGGCATGGTTGGGGACAACTGGCCGAAGGAGTTGGATGAAGACAGCGAAGAAAGGTCATACGAGGATGTCGCCGGCAGTCTGAACTCGCAAGTTTGACAGTGTTGCAGGGCTTGCAACGTGGAAGCGAAGCTCTCACTTGTCGGGAAGCAGACCCTGAGCAGAAGTCGTTGCTTGATGGTCTGGGTGAACGATGCAAGTAGTATGTGGTGTGAAGTCAGTAGCAGGAAGTGCGGTATCAAAGAAGCTGTGCGAAGCCAGTCATAACTCATAACTGAAAGACATCCTGGTAGAGGTGCCGTTGGTCGGGAGACCAACCGCCAAATGACAGATGCAAAAACCAGCGACCCTTGAAAACTGCAAGATCATCCGAATGAAAAGCTGTTTTGAGAAAACCACGGTCGAGAATTGTGGGTGTCGACCGCCTCTGGGTGGACATAGTTTGCAATGAACATAGTGGTGTTGTGCGCAGAATCTGCGCACAAGCTTGTGATTGACAAGAGGCAGCCCCTAGCACCCTTCCGGTGGCTGCACCAGAGGCGGCGACACACCTTGAACCGCAGACCCATCTTTACATCCGCACATGGCTCGATCCCGTCGGTTCACCATCAGAGATCGTAGTGATCACTCCTTGGCTGAGGAGCAAGCTGCAGCTTGCCTCATGCGTTTGGAACGAGGACTTCAAGCTGATGCAATCTCGCATCTTGGCAGCCCCCACCCTTCTGCTGATCGCCTGTGATGCTGTTGGATAGCCTGCCACAAGCCTGGGAGGTGCAGATAACAAAGGCAATAGGTGTCTCCTATATGAGCTGCTTGCACGTTCACATGTTTATCAGTTCAAGTGTTTTGACAGCGTTGGGTTTGCATAGACTGTGTCCTTGTTCATACATTTAGAAATTGACTGACATCGCTGCATGTGTATGCATTGCGATCTGAGTCAGCAAACAACAAGGGTTTTTTTCAGCGAGCGGCTCTGAATCCAGGCATCGAGCGAAACAAAAACCCAAACCAAGAAAGCCAAGAATCGAAGCCAGAGGCAGCCTCGGGCACATTCTTAGGTACAACGCAATGATGAGTTCCTCCGGATCTGCCAACTGCTGGCAGCTTGCGGTGGACTCGTACGCAAGGCCTTGTCGTATCTAGCCGAGTGCGCTTTGCATGCACAGACAGCCAAAAGTGAGATTGGTCGGATCCGCGCAAATATTTCGTTGGATTGAACTGCAGGCTACGACAAGCTCATATCCAACCAACTCGTGTCGCCAGACGATAATTGGCATGCTGTACGCTTTTCCCTGCATGTCCAGGAAGTACCTGTGCAGGCGTTGCAGCTGAACTGAGGTCACCTGCAACACAGCCATCGCCACCTGCAGGAGCCACGGCTGATTTAGCATTGTAGCCGTGGTCGGTGCGTCACTGCACCGACGGCATTTCCCTGAACCTGCTGGCATTGAGTTTTCAACGTATTCTGGATTGTTGGCACTGGCAGGCATTGGCAGCGGACCCTGCGCGTACTGTCGGAATCTTGGCTTGCATCACGACAATTTCAGCATCTCCATAAATTTCTGTTCTGTAGGAAAGGCAGATTAACAGGCCGTTGAATGGTTGGCCGAGGAAGGTTCAAAGATGAGTCTCTTTCCGGATGTTGTCTCATATTGCTCTGCCATGAGTGCCTGCGATGCCTGGCAAGCAAGATCGTGTGAAGAACACCTCCCTCGCTCTGAGGGAAGTGGTCGACAGAAGGATCGCAAAGTCGGTTAACTCAGGAGAAAGCAGCTTTGTGGCAAATGGCATTCTGCCTTTTCGCAACGATGACGGGTGACCAACTACAGGTCAGGATATTCTGCCCTTGTCTTTGAGTGTATGCAGAAATGATACTGCTTGCCGTCAGGCCACGAGCGTTTGCTACAACACTCTCATCAGCGCATGTGCTTCGGGCCACCAGTGGCAGAGGGCTGTCATCTTGTTCTATGTGCCCCGGTCTGAACAAAGCAGGGGTTCTTATCGCGACACCAAGTCCTCAAGTCCGGTTTTGAAGCTCTCAAGGGTGCGACCCAGAGAGTTCGAATTCGGGGAAGTCGTAACTTTGCAGCTGGCCAGTAGGGACTGAAGCGAACAGATCCTCAACATGAATCAGCCGTGCGGGTCTCTTTGTGACAAAGCGCGCTTCTTCTGCTTCCACCGCAAATTTAGACAACCATGCTCATCCTTTCTGGCCTTCTGGCTGAGTCTCGCAATTCCTGAGTGCAGCAGCCAAGGATTTTCTGGAGGTTTCTCTGGAGCTGGATGCGCTGACTTGCAATGCTCTTATGACCGCTTTTTGCCGAGCTGGACGATGGCAGCATGCTGCAAACCTACTATTCGAGATGTCGCTGCTTGACAGCAGCTGTGGTTTCAGTGTGTATCCAGCCTTCGAGTCGCACCTCGTAGGTGGGACTTCTCGGGAGGTTTGGTAAGTGGACTGTTTTTGCGCGCTCGACACAGTTGAGGCTGTGGCTTGTGTCTGCTGATATTATCTCACACTGTGCCTGCATCTCCGCCTTCGAGCAAAGCGGACAGTGGGCAGGAGGTCTTCGCCTTAAAGAACCCGATCCAACAGTGCTTCCTGCGCATGTTACTTACATAAGGATGAGCCGCGGATACTACATTGCATCAGGTCTGGCAATGTTGCGAAAACTGCATCGAGCCATGCTGCAAACAAGCAGCGTGGCGTATACTGCTGCTGCCGGAGCAACTCTGCCAGATTTAGACCACATCTTTGAAAAGCTAAATGCACTTTACCTCAGCCCAAGGCTTGCGAAAGATGTGACAGATGGTTAGACTCCGTTGACCTTCTGTGCAGCTTGCAACTGGCCGCACTGTTTGCAAACATGCCTGTGCCTTGTCCAATCAGTGTTTGTCCAGCCGATTTGAGAACAACTTTCGACACTATGGACCCTTGAGGCCTACAGCACCGTGATGAATGCCTGCTCCACCGCTGGCTATTGGCCCAAGGTGATGCACATCCTTCAATGCGCCCAACGGACTGCCTGCAGCAGATCTAGCTCTGAGAGGACAACGCATGTCTTGCAGAATCCAGGACGATGCTGTTAGTTGATGTCATTATGCGAGGTTCTGCCGCTCGGACTCGGAAAGTATTGACGACTTGACGACTTGACATTCCGTGCTGTAGGCGGGGACTGGCAAGCAGCTATGTCAGGTCTTGAGTGCATGCCAATCCGGCACGCAGTGGCACTTGGCATCTTCCCTCCTAGGCTCGGAGGTGCCGGATGACTCTCGGCGAGCTTGGGGGCTTGGGGGTTTCTCGGTGTTCCGGCGGCAGCTTTGATCCAGCGTGCTCAGGTAAACTGCGTGTTGTGCGGCTGCGCACTGGGCAGCTGCGCAAGAGCGGCGCACTGGCAGCGTGCGCAGCAGTTGATGCAGGATGTTGACGAGAGCGCTGTCGAGGCCAACGCTGCTAAGCTGCAGCCAGGGCAGAAAAGTGCCAGCAGATGCGCCAAAGGGAACGCTTGCTTGCTTGAGGTCCTTCTAAGAAGTTCGCTGCTGAGCAGCTTTTCTCGTGCATCACGGCCCGTGGAGGCATCTCTGATGCACACAAATATCCGCAGCTGAAAGGGCACATGCAATGAGTTGGCATCAGCAGGACCAGGATGTGTTGAGTCTTGTCATCGTGGTAAGGCTGTTAAAATGCTCGAGAAGCTCTCGATGGACTCTGGCCTTATTCCCTGACATGGCGGGAGCAAAAGATCAGAGCAGGATTGCATTCCGGCGATGCTCGAGAATGTCCCAGAAGCTTAGAGCTCGAGCTTTCGCAGGCTCTCAGACACTCAGCTTTGAGCTGCACTGCGGGTGATCCTACTACTCGTAGTCGTTTTCGGCACTCTACGTGTTGGATCCACGTTGCCTGGAGACCAAACATTGAGCTATCGCTGGATGTTATGCCTTCTCCTCCTTGTAGGTCTGATGCGTAGTACTGCATCTGACCAGCAATGGGCGTCGACGTTATGCCAGATGAGGGGCATTAGCACAGAGGCCAGCTAGCAAGAGTCAGACGAACATCCAAGTATTCGTCGCACTCGTGGCGTTGGCAGGAAGATCTGCCTTCATACAACAGGGCGTTGGTGGCACTTACTCGAAACAGCCAGTGGACCCTGGCGCAGCAGGCGCATCCTGACAAGCACTTCCAGGGCAATGCCGCGAGTCAATTCACTCGGACGGTTGCACTTTGAATTGTTGTGGAACTTCGTCTCAGGTTTGTGACTGTCGCCTGTGGGTTCCAGCTAAATGTCCGCAGCCGAAATCAGGAATTATTTTCTTAATTGCTTTGAGAACTGCTGCCGACACGCATGCTGGACACACATGCTTCGTGCACCGCCAAGGCCATTTCGTACAGCATCGCAATGCAAGCCAGCGGACATCTCCTGCATCGCTGGCCGCATGCGGTCAATGTCTTCGACTCTCAGCAGTGGGCTGGAATGGAATGCAATGCAGCCTAGCTGCATGCGTGGCCAGCCTCCGTTTGAACTCGAGGTGCTCCTGCCATAGATCACTTGTTCGGTTCTTCAGGTCATTCATGCCGGACTGCTAGCCTCAGCCATGAGTTCGTCGTGGCAGAAGGTCTGGGTGCTGCTGTCTCTGCTACGGGTTCAGGCGGGGGCAGTCCCGGGACATTCTGAGTGCTCTCTAAACAATTCTAAACACAGGCACTTCGCATCAGCACCATTCTTGCTGGCACTGCTTTGGCATCACTCGCATCCCATGGGTCTTGGTGGCAGGCCATCTCTTTTTTAAGAGTCGATGTAGACATGCGAAGTGCCCGCTGCTCGCATCACTGCTTGCATGCAGGCTTGCAGCTTTTTCCAAGGCCGCCGTGCACATGCTTTAAATATGTCGTGTGTATGTCGTGTGGTGGATGTGTGCTGCGAATGCCGGGAGGCTGTTCGAATCAAGATCTCGAAGCCAACTTGATCTTTACGAACACGCTTATTGGCCAGCTGTCCCAAAGATAGCACGCTCTTCTGACGGGTTCCCATGTGAGTTTCAGGTGCCACCGGGACACACTGGCTTCGTGCTCTTGATATGCGTTCTCATCTTGCCCAGCAGAAGAGGAGTGCTTGTCAGCTTTCCCCTTAGTTGCATTTTGCTGGCAAGCATTATCTGAGTCACACGCCAGGAGTTTGATCACCCACAGTCTTTCAGCAACTTTGAGCATAGCTTTTGCTAATTCCTAAATGTGACGATGTCCATCTTGGTGCTCTGCTGTTTCGGCTGCTTCGGCAACATCAAGGTGCCAGCATTTCCTGTTGCGATGCTGCCGGCATGTGGGCGCAAGCGTGCCTACTGCTGGAAGAAGCAAGCCGGAGTCGCTGTTCTCTTGATGCTGCTGGGATTTGAAACACATGCCGGTGTTGCAGTGAGCCCTGGTTCACCCTTCGAGGTTGTTGTGATGACAGCATGGCAGCAGGCTGTCCAGCAGCTGTTGCGATTGCAGGCCTTTGCCGATTTCTTGTCGTCACGCTTTTGTGTAAACTTGTGCGGGGCAAATATCCTTATGAGGCAAGCAACTCTATGCTCAACCGTATCCCCACGAGCACAGCCATCAGCGCTTGCGAGCGACGCAGCCGAAACATGCCTCTTCTTTGCGATGGACTGTCGTGAGCACTGGCAATTGAGGAAGGCCGCTTGTTGGGTCGTCGCGCACTCGCTGCTTCAAAGATGTATCTTGTCTGAACTTCGAGGGTGTCACAAGTTCTACGACTTCAACTTTGGCAAGCAGCAACCCGCGACGACCGATTCAAATCATAGGCCGCCCGGACAGACGACCCCTGCACTGCTCACCCGTTTCCCCATCGATTCAATTCTCCAGCACAGGATGTTTGCCTAGATTGCCGTGTGGTAAGGGCGGAAGGTTGATGCATGAACCTCCTGCCAAAGAACCGAAACAATCGAAGGTCGCTTCTCTACCACGGAGTTTGACATTGTCTTGTGCAGTTCGTGCATCAGTGCATGCGAGAAGGGCAAGCAATGGCAAAGGCCGCGTGCTGTGCAGAAAACTGAGCAGCTGGTTTCCAATTCTTGCTTCAACACACCGGTCTGCACTGGTACCTTGAAATGCTATGTCTACTGTGTAACCTGATGGCTTCTCAATGTGGTCACTCAAGCACTGGTGTGTTGTGATGGGATGCAGGGCGCTGTGGCTGCTGGATGTTATTCAAGACATGTTGCTGGAAGCCAATCCCATTACTTTTGGGGCGGCCATCAGCGCATGCGAGGCGCTGCTGGGCCCCTGCTGGGCATTGCTTGGGCATCCAGTCTTGCCTTTCGAGGCAATTTCGTTTGCAGGTTTGTGACCAGTGGGAGCGTTCTCTACACCTCCTCGAAGACATGCAAGCTCGAACTGGGGCTCAATTGAATGCGGCATTGTAGGCAAGTCATGTTCGCGGCTGCAGCTGTGCATGGCACACCGGAGCTCAGGTTGCCTGCGTGCAAACGTCATCACTTTCAATGCAATAGTCAAATCGTGTCTCTTGGCTTGTGGTTGCATCGGGAAGCTGCAAGAGTTTCGCCGAGACAATTTCACATTCGTGAGGTGAACGAGCAATGAAGTGGAACGAAGCTGTGCAGCTTCTCCGACTTGCACAAGGTGCACCGCATGTTTTGCTGAAGTTTGTGGCATTTTAGTTGCATCCTTTGCGGTCGCAAGATGGATGTGGCCCTGCAAACCTGGCAGGGGGAATGTTGCAGCCGAACATCATAACGCCGCTTGATCACAATGTGGACAATTGGGTTGTTCTGACGATTCAGCAGCAAGCGGGCATGTACACCGCGTTTGCCTGATCGTGGGCCAGACTATGTAGATGAAGTCTCAGTTCACTGCACTCTACTTTCGATCCACCTGTGCCACATCGACCCACTCTTTGTATGTACAGCCAACTACATAAGCTTGCAGGTACAATGCGGCGCTGGCTGCATGCAGTTGTGCCAGCAAGTGGGACCAAGTGTGTCTTGGTGCGAAAGAAGGATGCCAAGTGTCGTTGCAAAGGCATACTGATACTAGTACTGGGAGATACTAGGCATCGTTGTATTTTCTTCTCTGATACACTCTGCTTCTGCTTGTCAGAATCTCCAAGTGCTGGGCAATTCCGTCGAAGATTTGTGCAAAGCATTATTGTTGAATGACATACTTGATCCCTTGATCCAAGGCTCACGCTCTATCTCGATTCTTGCCTCGATTGAAATCGTTTTGCTGGGTGTTGCGTGGTCTGAGATGCACGCAGTCATGTTTCTGTAAAGCCAGTGAGGAGCTTTGCGCCAACGAGTTGAATCCTGATTCAGTGGCCTATGCTGCCGTGATCAGTGCCTTCGAATTCATGGACCTCCAGCAGGCATGGAGGAGTTAGCATCATGTCCCAATACGATGACCGCAGAGTTGTCACTGCATTTGCTCGTCAGGTCCCGCCGGTGTTATCAAAGCTGGATGCCCTTGGCGTACTGCGCAGCAGGTTGGCCACCAGAGTAGACACCGCAGCTCTTGAAAATAGACCCTGCTGATCCAAATTGCGCGATGAACCTTTTGAGCTATTCTTGTGTGTCTGAGCAGATCTGAGCAGCGCCTTGCCTCCAAAACTCTGCTCAAGACGTCTTCGTTCAGAGGCATGGCATGTGGCTAGAAGCCACCGTGAGTCCGCGATGCTGCATAAAGGCTCGCACCAGCGCTTTGAGCGCTTGCCGGAAGAATGCATCATGGGAGCGCGCCTTCCACCTGCTTCGAGCCATCTCAACGGATGGCTTGCGATTAAATGTTATCTCCTTCAATGCGCTCATCAGCGTTTGCGAGAAGAGCGGTCGCTGGTGTCTGGGTACTTTGCTCCATCGCGGCCTACGGGACGATCTACTAAAGCCAGATGTCATCACTGTCAATTCGGCAATCAGTGCTTGCGAAAAAGAAGCTTGGACAAGAATGACCCGTCCACTGCTAGGCTTTTTGTCCATCCTGTGCATCTTTTCTCCATCTATCGAGCCTGTGAGGCGAATCTCTGGCAGCCAGCGCTGAGAGGCCTCGCATCCGCACAGCAGCGTCTCAGCTCGAAAAGCTTTGCAAGCGATAGGAAATCACAACTTTAACCAGATATCAGAAGCATGCAGTGAGCACGTGAGTCATTCGCAGTCGTAGCTTGCATTGTCACCCAACCGACTCAGCGTAGCGGCGTAGCGCCGCGTAGCACATATTTACTGGGATGTCCTGGCGCCGTGTCGTGTCGGTCTGATGCAGCGATGGGAGCTACCCGATGAGAAGCGGAGCACAACTTCCAGCAACTCCATCAGAACATGACTTCGACCTAGTCTGTGAGGCTGATATGACAATCACTGTCAGGCTGTTGCACCCATGTTCGCCATTACTCTCCTCTCAGATTCTCAGATTCGCGAGCTGTTGCGCGCTTTACGAAGGTGCTCCGTCGAGACAGACTCGAGACTTGCCTTCTTCAGCAATCGGTTTCACTCATTCTGGGTCGCCCACTCATTCTCAGAGTATAAGGATCACTTTCAATGCAGCCATGGCTGCTTGCGAGAAGGGAGACCGCTGGCAAGATGCGGTCAAAGTCTTGAAGGACGGGCTTCTGAAGCTCTGCTGCAAGGTCTTCACTTTTGCGGAATCGTCCTCAGGACATGCGTCGCGCCCGAAGAGTGCCAAGCATCGAAGCTGCAATTATGTGAGGGGCGATGTTGCT